CAATAATTAGTGCTTTCATAACTACTAAATGAATTCTTTTTATAATTTGATTCCTATTAAGTACCTTATTTTTTAAATGTTTATCAAAATGGGATAAAATTTTGTATAAATCACATGAGTTAAAATGTTTATTCATTCGAAGAAAATTAACCCACTCGCTAGGGCTCGTGGGTTAAACTTTCTTCTCATGAATAAACATTCATTTAACTCACTTGGTGTATAAATAACTATTATCTAAGCCTGTCCAAAACTCGAAAACAGGCAGAATTGGCACTGAAGGCAGTGAAGGCACACAAACCATCAAGAAACAAACCATAACCAGCATAAGAGAGCACAAGGCTATTATGTCGTTCATAATTAAATACCTACTCATTTTCTAGTGTGTGCCTCTAAATTTTTAAAGTGGGTTTATACAGCGCATAGGTAGCACATAAGAAATAAGATAAAATAAGATATAATATAATAAATAAGAATTTTGTGGCGTTTATACAGAAAATAACATAATATAAGAAATAATTTCTAACCAATCAGCTGGTACTTGTACTTATGTAAATTCTACCGAAAACACATATTTGATCAAAAAATTTATTAATTAATAATTCAGCAGAACACGATAATAAATGCCGAATTCCAAAAAATTACCAAAAGTTGAAACCAAAATCAAAATAATTTTGTTTTGTTTTGAATGTTTTGTTTACTTCCCTGCAATCATGTCGAATCAAGAGAGAAGCATGTGCAGATCCGTTTTCACATAAGATAAGACATAAAATTTAAAAGTTAACCAACTCTGTTATTTCTATGTTTGTTATTTTCTGTATAAACGCCATAAGGGGTTTTCATAAGGTCAATTTTTTATGTTGTTATTTCTTATGTTATGTCATGTGGCTGTATAAACCCACCTTTACAAGTTTCTACCCAATAAGCATGGGAATCAATTTGTTTGGGGAAGGTTGCTCTACACCTACCTAGGCTACCTATACCCTTCATGTGAATTTTTTTCCGAAAGCATATGCTCACTTTTGGCCAGTTTCCGGAATCGGCTTTTTCAAACCGTTTTCCATTCTTTATCACAAACAAAATAGACAATAATTACCTAACAATAAAATTATTGTTATTTTTCTTTTAAGTGGTTTATGGGAAATAAAACACGAGTATAATTTTTATGTGTCTGTATTCCATACCTACCCTACCAGTTTCTCTAAAGACTAACTTTTTACATTTTCACATTTTGTTTGTGAAGGGCCAGGGGTCACTGACCTATTAGTAAACACAAATTCCTTTTATCGTTTTCGTACTTTATACTGTGCCGGACTAGTACAGATATTGATTTCTTTGTCTTTAATTCGCATTTAGACAAGGCAAGAAAATTGTCGAGAGTAGTCGATACTTCAATAGATGTCATTCTCCTCTATCAAGTCAAAAGTAGGGCTGTACCAATGTCGATACAAAAAGCGATTCTGATATATATATATATATATATATATATATATATATATATATATATATATATATATATATATATATATATATATATATATATATATATATATATATATATATATATATATATATATATATATATATATATATATATATGCATCCTTTTTTGTTCGATGAGTTAAAAAAGAGAAAAAAAGGATTCGTTTGGAACATGAAAATTTGGCAATCAGTGATTTTTGATTGGTGGAAAAATATAGCGCAAAATTCAAATAATCTGTTTTTTTTTCTTTCAATTTCTGGCTTCAAGATTTTTAAAAAAATTAACCAACCATACTTTTATGTAGTACATAAAATACACTTTCGTTACAGATAAATTATTTACCTAATTTTGATTGAGTGCAAGAGGTCTATTTCAACTCATTGTGAAAACTACACAGATAAAGAGTATGCTTCTACTTCACATCAGACTACAATGTGCAATCAATCTAATCAGGTTCAGGTTTCGCTTGCAACAGCCTTGGTTCACTTTGAGAATGTGGAAGGTCATTTTGATGTTTGCAGGGCATTGCTAGACAGTGGATCGATGTCCAATTTTATATCTCTGGAATTTTAAATGAAGCTGTGATCACCCCAACACTCTGTGAATGTTTCAGTTAGTGGTATTGAGGAGACCCAGGCTCGTGTCAGAAAATCTTGTGACATTCACATTAGGTCCAGAAATTGTAATTTCAACGCTAATCTTTATTGCCTAATCCTACCAAAAGTTACAGAAAGGCTTCCTTCAGTATCTATCAATCCTAATTTTCTAAATATGTCTCCAAATATTCAACTTGCGGATCCTACATTTATCAAATCCAGCAATATTGATTTTTTGATCGGTTCAAGCTTGTTCTGGATGCTTATCTCCAAAGGTACAAGGCCGCTTGGTGACGGCACACCAATATTGCAAGACAGCAAACTAGGTTGGTTTATTTCCGGAGGTTTTGCCCAGAATGATTCCGACTCTAGGGTTTGCCATTTCTCTAAAAATTCAGAAATTCAGTCGCAGTTAACGAGATTTTGAAAAATTGAGAAGGATTCTTCAGGTAATCTTTAATCCACTGAGGAACAGGAAGCCAAGCAACATTTGAAGGACTCTCCTTCCAAGTTAGGTGATTCCAAACAAGGGGCAACAAACCAATTTTTCTCACTGGAGAAAAAACTTTCTGTAAAACCAGCGTTCAGAGAAATGTACACTTCATTTATGCGGGAATATGTGAGCTTGCAACATATGTCTCCGTACACTTCTACCAATGATTAAGTAACATACTTCTCACCAAATCACGGTGTGCTTAGTGAGGAAACTGTGACTACAAAGCTAAGGGTCGTTTTCAATAATTCATTCCCATCTTCGACTGGTAAATCATACAATTTATTGCAAATGGTCGGTTTGACTGTACAGCCTTTTCTCAATCCTTCTTCGGTTCGGGCAGCACTCATATGTTGTTTCTGTAGACATATTGCACCATTTCTGGCTACGAGATGTTTACTGCAACTTTCCTCTGATTATCAGCATCTTAATCCACAAGTTTTAGAGGTAATAAAGAGGTATTTCTACGTAGATGACCTTTCTACAGCAGAAGCAATCACTTTTGCAAACAAGGTTAGTTCAGTCTTGGCCTGTGCGGGCATGGAACTGAGAAAGTGGAAATCTAATTCGTCTGAAATGTTGGAGGGTATTAAATCTGAATGCTTATCAACTGATAATTTCTATTCTGGTTCCACGAGTACGAGTGAAACCCTAGGCATGCTATGGTCCAGTGAGCACGACACCTTTTCATTTTTCATTCGCAATCCACCAAATATAAAGGTTATTACCACGAGAGTAATTCTTTTGGAAACTGCTAAAATTTGTGATGCTCTTGGACTAATCAGTCTTATTGTTGTCACTGCAAAAATGTTTCTTCAGAAGCTTTGAGCTCTGAATCTTCCTTGAGACGTGGAGGTTCCTGAGGAGCTTGCAACCAAGTGGAATTCATTCAGATCAGAACTTCCAGAACTTAACAGGTTGCAAATTCCTTGACAAGTAACTTGCAAAAATATCGTTCGAGTGGAATTGACGTTTTCAATTAAAAGAGATGGAAAATAAAGTATGAAAACAATCATTTTCCCGCCAACATTTGCTTGCTTGCTTGTCAATGCCAGTGTGTATTGGGTGTTTTGAAAGAAATTGTGGGCAAAGTTACTACTTCATTTGCAGAACTTCGCTATGGAGAAAGCGGTGAATTATTTTGGAAGCAAACAGCTCCCGCAAACTAAACTTGAACGCGGATTACTTTGTATACTTGATGGGCCGTGGATTCCCTTTTTTTTGCGAGTATTCTTTCTGATTTTATGTTCCAAAATTTGACAAATGTAGGATTTGATGGAAACTTATCGAAAGACACGTCCGCCGGTAAATAGGAATTATTTTTACAAAAAGGCACACAATCACCATTGTTAGGAAAAAACCGAGGAAATAATAGTTTCCAGTTTCCACATGTACAAAAGTCTTGTCAACAAACCACTGTCAGCGGCTGTCAACCGTTGTTTTCATACTCTTTTAGCGTCTGACAGTTTGACGCCAGAGAGAGAAGCTTTTAAATTGAAAAGGTCAATCCAGTTGACTGTTATTTGTGAATAACGGTTTTTCCCATTATGGGGAAAACCGAATCCCATTTCAACTCTAGCCTGGAGTAGACTGTAAATTTAAGAGGGGGAAATAAATATCTCGCTCACTCTCAAACGCATGCATAGTACCCTCGCGCTCACACGCACGGAAAAACTATTATTGCGTCTGTGGGGATGTTTGGCCGGTGCGATTGGTCTGGCTGAGCACACGTAGTTATGAAATAGTCTCCCCAATAACATGTATAAAAATCAAGCGTTGGAAAAAAAGTTAAAGTACTTTTTAAGTTTTCACACCTGGTGTCGGTATATTGGCCGTCTACCCAACTTAGCGGGTATACATATGTTCATAGTACATATAAGTGCTACACAATCCCACATATTCTGTCCTTTAGAAAATAAGTTGTGTCTGGCGGTTCTGGGCTCTTGGACTAATATGTTTCAAAATATACATGTTCAGTTGATCACTTCTAAAACCCGTGAAGCCCCGCTCAAAATCATTAGCATTCCCAAGCTTGAGCTTTGTGCAGCTCACCTTCTATCACAACTATATAGCAAGGTTGGTGTTGTTGATAAGAAAAACCTCTCAAATTGCGATGTATTTTGTTATTGTTTATCAGTGCAGAAAAGATTTTGAAGTAATTTTGTGAAAGTAGGACAATTAAATTGAATTGAAGTAGAAAAAGGCGAATAAAATGATATAACGATAGTTCGTCATTTAAGTATTTTTTCCATTTTTTTTAATTTTTGCCAAAAACTCTGACCTGACCCCAACAAGGGCAAAACATTATCGTTAAGCTTTACGACTATTACACCCGTTTGAGATACCTTCAACCTTTCTGTAACAATAAATATAGACCCCTTGCCAAATATAATAAAAAATAATATACCAAAACATAAATTATCATTCTTACCTCCTTGGGGAAAAAATTGCGCATAAATCATTTTGAATGTATCCTCTCGCACTACTCCTGTCGGACACTCCGCTTTAAACCCCCTGTAGATCTTTTTGATTTCGTCTTGTGTAAACCTAGTCGCCCTACTGAGCGATTCTATACTGCCAGGCCGGTATCTGGGTGGAGTTTCGAGGTCTTCTAATTCAGAATCTATATAGACAAAAAAAAAAATCAATTAATACAAATTGGCTGAAGGAGAAATTTAATCAAAATGTTGCGTGGTATTTTAAGACACCATGTAATCAAAATAGAGGGTACTTGAAGTTTGTAAAACTAGATAAAAAGTTGCATGAATACTTAAAATTCAAAAGAAAGTTGCGCTGTATTCTTTATGAGGAAAATTTTGAAAACATCAATGAAACTTTTGGGAAATTTAATAGTTTCAAAATCGTGTAATCCTGGTATAGTGAAGAAAATTAATTGCTCCACGAGTCATGCATTTATAAACAAATCTAATTATAAAACTTTTTTCCTCATTACTTATTTATAGAAATAAGATGAAACATTATGCAACTTCACCGAGCAAATGACAAGTTCTTCATACTGGCTCAAAATAAATTAGTTTGAGAAGACTATATGATTTGTGGCCAAAATTATACTGCTCATTTATTCTACCACTGTAGTTATGTCACGATCTTTCGATAAAAAAAAGATGAGGGTCCATATAGGGGGCTTTTATATAGGATTAAAGTAAACTCTTTATCACCTCCACATCTGGGTTTTTCTGTGTGTTCTTTCCGAGTGTGTCAACAAAAAAAAAAAAAAAAAAAACGAAATAATCCTACATGTCACAGTTTCCTTTCCAGCCAGAAATAGCACAAAGGGATACTGCGATCTTTATTAGCTATCCTTGAGCTGACTTTCATCAACGCACAAGATAGATAAAAAATTGAAGATAATTCAATTCTTTTGAAGGACGCTTTGGGAAAATATGGCGCGTATTTTCACTGCGAATATTTACGGTACAACTCACAATCTCATTATTTTATTTTCCTACTGGCTGCACCATATTTTCATTTTTCAGAATTTTAATTTAAAAATTATATTTATTTGGCAAATGTTCACTTTTTTTTCAACAAACAAAAATTATTATTCTGAGTGTGTTAGCTATAGCAAAAAGGGCCTACCTAGCTTCAAAAGCCTTTGGCAAATTGTAACACCCCGTTCCTGGATAGCGTTAAAGTCTCTAATTTGAAGCAGGTCGTGTGTGAGATTCAAGTCCTGTCGTGCTGAATTTTAAAGCACTATGCTGATAACAATTGGAGCAAGTTTCTAGTTGAATAGAGCAATTCGTACTTATAGAGGCTAGTTTATATTATCTTCACTTCGCAAATGTGGACTGTTTTCCACTTCACTGATCGGCAATGGAACTTTATAAAAATAGGTTTTGCGTTGTTGAATGCATATTATTGCTACAAAACCTATTAAAATTCTGTACAATTTAATTTCGAAACATTAGTGTTGAATTCGAGCTATTTTTAGTTTTATTACCGATGAAAATAGCTGACAACAAATAAATGTTGTCCACTGGTTGATATTGCATGACTTTTTGATTTTGCTTTTTAGCAAATATATAGCTCAAGAAATTTATGTGTTTTTCAAAAAAATTTGCGAGGGCAGGCTGATTTTTTCAGGGCTGATTGGGGACTGTGTCCTGAGTATTGAGCCAAAAAATCACACTCGAAAGCCTTGTGCGTTCGGCCCTATTGGCCTTTTTCTTATTTATTTTTTTTCGACGAAATGACCTCAACAAAACTTGTAGATAATAACATTCTGATCAACTTTGCCTCATGCCTTTTTTTGCTAGCTATTTTAGTTTAGGCGTTGCGGCCATTTTAGTGCTCCAGAATTCGCAAAAAAATTAAATAGCAAACCTGCAGATTATTGTAACTTTAATAAAATTACTGGTAATGTACTCCATTACGTTTTCGGTTTCAGTCCAAGAAATGATACATTACATCACTAATTCGGTGAAATTATTTTCCCGGAGTGAAAGCGTGAAATCGAAATGATGTTTTTTTTTTTGACAAAAGTAGAGCCTGTTACCTGTTTGAAAAGTGACAAAATGTTTTTTTTTTTTTCTACAATCGGCCTAAAAAGTAGACTTTGTCGATTAGATTTGTGCTCGCAAAGTAGACGTTTCCTGATGACCTCCACTTTGCCGCTTTAGAGCGTCAAACTACGTCAAAATCCTTCACTTTGTCGCTCTAGCGCTTGCTTTTACTACTGGTTTCTTTGAACCTGAACTATTTTTTATCAAATGCGATTGTAAAAAAAATCAAGTGTGCATTTGCCAATATCAACAATATCCTTCGATCGGCAAAGTACCACTTTGCGCTCTTAAAACACAAATAGCTATTGTGCAACCGTCCGCGAAATTGAATTTCACGAAACGCCACATTTTACCTGCAAAATGTGTCAAATCCTTAGAACCGCTATGCATGCCACAATGTCCACTAGGTCAAATAAAATTTTTCAAATGCCTAAAAGGCCGTACAAGCGAAAGAAATAAAGTTACAATAAAATATCATCAAGCAAAGTAATAGAAAATTTCATTAGGTATAATAATCTGTAGGTTTTTAATTTTTTTTTTGCGAATTCTGAAGCACTAAAATGGCCACAGCGCCTAAAGTAAAATAGCTAGCAAAAAAAGTCATGGGGCAAAGTTGATCAGAATGTAATTATCTACAAGTTTTGTAAAGGTCATTTTGTCGAAAAAAAAATAAATAAGAAAAAGGCCAATAGGGCCGAACGCAGTGTGATTTTTTGGCTCAATACTCAGGACACACTCCCCAATCAGCCCTGGAAAAATCAGCCTGCCCTCGCAAAATTTTTTGCGGCCCAATATAAATTTCTTGAGCTAATAGAGTTTGAACAGTATTGTGTTAAAAAAAATAAAATGAATTGGTGCATTAGTGGATACTTTACTAACTTTTAACAGTATCTTCTTTTTCTTAGAAATGATAGTCGATGTACAAAATATTTCAACTTTATACCAGCAAAAATATTCAAATTCTCAATTTTTGCAGCGACAGAAGGCGGATAAAAATATCATGTTCGTGTGCCTCGAAACATGGATCGGGTCACAAATCCGACACGAGTTAGATATTGAAAATAATCCGTCCAAAATTGAAAGTGTGGGAAAACGTTTTACAATTTTACATGCCAGTTATAGTTCGGGCTTTCTATAAGATAGGAATTGGAATAAATTGAAATTGAGTGGTTGAAAAGTTGCTTCGCTTGAAAGTCCTGTATAATTTGTAACGAGAATTCTTCGTAAAGTCAATTTGTCGTATTCGTTAATTCGTCGTGAAATCAATTCGTCGCATACGTCAATTTGTCGTATGCGTCAATTTGTCGTGAAGTAACGTCGACTAATTCGTATTGGGGGTAAATTGGGTTGTCAATACCTGTCGGTATAAGAGCAAGTGAATCCTATGCATCACTGGTACCTCATGTGGTAGTCAACGTGTTAATAGTTTGCAATTTCAATCAGACATTATCAAACTTACCAATAATAACCCGGTTAGTTTGGGTTAGATTAAAATTGCAAACTAACCGGGTTATTATCGGTAAGTTTGGTAGGTAATCTCTGATTAAACAGACAAAGTGCAAATTTACACATTTTAAAATTATACTTGAAATACGACAAATTAACGATACGACGAATTAACGTTTTTCTACAAATGTCACTAAAAGTATCATTTTTAACGGATGCTGTTAGTGTCTAAAATGCCATTTTATGACACTGGTGTTAAAAGTGATTACTTTTAACACTAGACACCTATGCCCAATTTACAATGGACGTAATGTAAACGTAAAGACGTAACATAAGTTCTAAGCATGCGCACATTAGATTTATTTGCGTGAAATATGTTAGTGGAAACGTAACGTAAGAGAGATGAGAGGTGGTCATCTCTTACGTTGCGTTTCCAGTAACATATTTGACGCAAATAACTCTGACCTGCGCATGCTTAGGACTTATGTTACGTAGGTATTTACGGTTACATTACGTCCATTAAAGCCAATACGCAAAAAAAAACGTTTCCCAACCACGTATCCCTCAACGTATCGGGGTTACGTCCAAAAAAAATTGTTCCATTAAGAAGTCCTAAAGCCCATTTTACAACGGACATAACGTAACCGTAAAGACGTAACATAGGCCTGAGCATGCGCACACTATATTTATGAGCTTCAAATGTGACACCGGAACGTTAGAGATGACCAACTCTCATCTTCTCTTACGTTGCGGTTCCGGTGACATATTTGACGCAAATAAATCAATGTGCTTAGGGCTTAAGTTAAGTCTTCACGGTTACGTTAAGTCCATTGTAAAATGGGCCTAAAGCATAGTTTCTACAAACGTAAACGCAACGTCATTGTGTTTTGTTTGATTATTTGTTGATATTTTGAAATTAATGCAATAATTATTCATATTCTTCTTGATGATAATGATTTTTTTGAAGATGACGATGAGTCCCCATTTTCAAGGTTCTTATAAGCGACGTCTTTCAAAAGATTTAAACTATTGTCTACTCTATTAAAATAAACTCTTTTTGGACTTATCAGTTTTTTACGCATATATTTAATTGTGTGTCTTCAAATTCGTGTTCACTTTGCGTATTTTTTGTTTATTAGCAAATTTAGAGGTTAGAATGCTGTTTTCCATCCACCATCCATCTATATTTCGACAACGATTTACGTGTTACGTGAAATAGATCCGTGACAACAGGAACTCGGAACGATACGTCCAACGTATAACTTATCCTCACCCAGTGTTGCCAGAGGTGGTACAATTGTACCAGGTTTGGTACCATTCGTTTTGAAAAAGTACGCTAGTATATTTGGTACAATTTTCAATTTTTTTATTTTTTCCAAATTCTCAGAGTCTTAGCCTACTTGTATCCAAATTCGATACAACAATAATTTTTGATTCGTAAATAGATGGCGTCATCAATGTAACACTTGTTTTGTGGCTTTTTGTTGACGTAGTTTGTGTTTAGTTTAGGTTTTCGGCTGAATATAAAGAAAACTTAAAGCCTCGTACTTTAAATCGGTTTTCCTGATCGGAAAAGCGGGAAATCAAAAAAAAAAAAAAACCATTGAAAAATTGCATTCCAAAGCCTACTTGATGACACTAAAGTTTTTGT